GCCTCAGATTATCAAGGCAGGTACGTTTCAGCCTCTGCTTTCTGTGCGAGCCTCTTCCCCAGCCTCACCCTCCTCCTCCTTCCTCTGCCAGGGCTCTGCAGCGTTAGAAAGCAGAAGGGTTTCTCTGGCATCTCCCCTCTGCTCCCATTCCCCCTGCGGAACCAGCAGACCCCCTTTTAACCAGAAAACAAGGAGCAGGGAGACAACCACTCCTGCCTGGCAGAAAAGAACCTGGGGGTGCTGGTCCATAACTGGCTGAACAGGAGCCAGCAGTGTGCCCAGGTGGCCAAGGCGGCCAGCGGCATCCTGGCCTGTGTCAGGAACAGTGTGGCCAGCAGGACCGGGACGGTGACTGTCACCCTGTGCTCAGCACTGGTAAAGCCACACCTCAAATCCCACGTTCAGTTTTGGGCCCCTCACTACAGGACAGACACTGAGGTGCTGGAGCATGTCCAGAGAAGGGAACGGATCTGGGGAAGGGTCTGGAGGACACGTGCTCTGTGAGGAGCGGCTGAGAGAGCTGGGAGTGTTCAGCCTGGAGAAGAGGAGGCTCAGAGAGACCTTATTGCTCCCTACAGCCCCCTGAAAGGAGGGTGCAGAGAGGGGAGGTTGGTCTCTTCTCCAAAGTGATAAGTGATGGGACAAGAGGAAATGGCCTCAGGTTGTGCCAGGGGAGGTTTAGACTGCATATTGGGAAAAATTCCTTCACGGAAAGGGCTGTCGGGGATTGGAAGGGGCTGCCCAGAGAGATGGGGGAGTCACCATCCCTGGAGGGATTTAAGAGACGTGTGGACGAGGTGCTCAGGGACGTGGTTTAGCGGGGGCATGAGCAGTGTTGGATTAATGGTTGGACTTGATGATCTTAAAGGTCTTTTCCAACCTAAAAGATTATACGATTCTACTCATTTTGGATAAACTCTGACTTGTGGTGTTAGCCTGGGGGCTAAACACTCACTGCAAGTGTTGTCCTGGCAGCTCCTAGAGCAGATCCAGGAGGTGCCATTTGAAAGACGTAATGCTGCCAGCTAAATGCTGGGTCCCCACAGAACAGCCTGTGCATTGCCACAGGGATGCAGCGCACAGTCCTTGGCCAGCATCCCGGCTCCAGAGACCAACATCAGAGCATGCTCTCAGCCAGGACTGTGCTTCCTTTGCCTTCAGATACTGCTGCCTTCATCAGTGAGGGTCTGGGCTGCACGGGCAGCTCTGCAAGCACGGCTGCTCTGCTGCTTTCCTAAATCAAGAAGGAAACTTTGGGGTCCCAGATTTTCAGGTGTCCAGCCTGATGCACGGAGCAGAGGGCCAGTGTGAGCACAGCAGGAGACCAGAACAGCTAAAGACAGGTAGCTAAAGACACCAGGCACCGACAGTGGTTCCTCAGGGATGGATCGCAGATGTGTCACCCTCAAAATGATCAATTATCCTCGAGTGATTTCAAACAAGAGCCAAGGATAAGCTACAGGCTGTTGTTCTGTGCAGGTGTTCACACTGGATATGTTTTGTAGAGGGAAAAATAAACTACAGGATCAGTGGTTGGTGATGGGCAGAATCATAGAATCACAGAATGGTTTGGGTTGGAAGGGACCTTAAAGATCATCTAGTTCTAACCCCCCTGCCATGGGCTGGGACACCTTCCACTAGACCAGGTTGCTCCAAGCCTCATCCAGCCTGGCCTTGGACACTTCCAGGGATGGAGCATCCACAGCTTCTCTGGGCAACCTGTTCCAGTGCCTCCCCACCCTCTCTGGGAAGAACTTCTTCCTGATATCCAATCTAAATCTCTCCTCTTTCAATTTAAACCAGTAACTAACCCAGCTGACACTGGAAGGTTATCCCCAGACCTTCCAAGTGATACTACAGCTCCAGAGAGCTGTGAGAAGCCTTCAGTTTAGCTGGCAGTGTCAAAACTGCCCCCTCAAGATGGGGCTAGCTGGGGGAGGCGGGAGGAGTGCTGAAAGCTAGTAGGGTCCTTGGGAAAGAACCAGGTACCTCTGAGGAAGGCACCCAGACATGTGGGAGGACACATAAGACGCCTCAGGAAAGCATCTGCAGCAACCTCAGTGAATCCAGGGAAAGACCTGGCAGTGATGGTATAAGTATACGCACATGGTTTCCTTTTGTTCCTTCACCTGAGCCTCCTACTGACAGCTGTCATGGTGCTTCCTGCGCTGCGTGCCCTACAGAAACACATTTAGTCCTATTTTGCTGTGAGTGGTCCATCAGAGTGGTCCTTCCCTGCACCATGTCACCCTGAGATGGGCTACAGGGACACATGGGGCACATGGCTGTGGGGAGTCAGAGGAGTGCGGTAGGAAGCGGGGAGCATCTCAGAACATCCCCAAGGGCTCAGAGAGAGGCTGCTGGTCACTCAAGGGATGTCAGCACGGGCAAATGATGCTTTTCCACACTCTAGCAACAGTGCTAATAGCCAGGTTGTTTCCTCAGAGAGATTTTGCTCCATGGGTGTGTTCCAAACCTATGCCAGAAGGGATAGTAGATCTTGCCCTTTTCTTGACAGTCTCAAGAAACCAGTGTCATTCTGCAGGGGGCTGGAGCGAGTGTAAGGGGAAGTCATGGTGTGGGTAGGACAGCGATGGAGCAGTGGATCCATGGTCTTCATAGCAAAGAGCTAGCCTCTCCCTGGATGGCCTGGTCTATCCTCAGGGCTGCAATGAAAACCTCTCTGACCAGTGGAGTGGAACAGCTTCCCTGCAGACCCAGGAAGGATGCCAGCCACTCCGGCATCTTTCACAAGGCGTGAATTCAGTCTGTATTGAGAAAACAAAGTCTGCTCGAAGTTCTGGTCTCGCTACAGCTGCAGGCTGAGCTGTCAGGAGTTAGGCGGATCACAGGGAGCAGGGACTGCTGATCATTAGCACGTCTGTAGGAACGATAAGAAAGCCCCATTGGGATGAATCAAGTTAACCTAAGCTTTGACTTTCCAGGCTGCAGGCAGGCTGTGCCAGAATCTTAAATGTAAAATCAAGCCCTGGCCCGTGCTTTTTGCCTAGAAGAAGAGCACATCCATC